ATTATTTAAAGTATCTCAATCATGCATACATATCACACACCCACACATACACACACACATGCATATGTATATGCGCATTCACATACTATGAAATTACAAACATACATATTACTACTTACATACACATAAAAAAAGGAAAAACTACAAAAAAAAGGACAAAAAAAAAGAACTAGTTATAAATGCATCTCGTTTTTAGTTTTAACTTGCCAACTCCTTTTGAATGTTGCGCGCTGGTTCCACATGTTCAGCTGCTTCGCTGCGTCACGTAACCCTGGAATGGTTCCGGAACTTGTTAATTGTTGTTTACATGCTGATGCGGCTGGAACCCACACCTCATACATATATACCAGACAAACCACCCGATTGCAAAGAAAATTCAAACATGACCCGCACATCAATCATGCACAGTGTGACTCGTACAATATTTATTATTAACATTGTTTACATTTACAACATTTGTGTAGTATTTCATGCTGTTGAACATTTTTTTGCTCGTGTACACGGATGAATGAAATAAAGAAATTGACACATTTAAAATCACACGGTGTTTCCATTTGTGACCGTTACTTTGGGGTGTTTCCGTGTGTGTGTGTGTGTGCGTATGCGTCTTTCGCCTACAGGGTGACTCACAAACACGCCTGTTAGCTAACAGAGCCACTTACAGCAGCGGCAGGATGTTGTGCGAGAGAGAGTCGCTCGCTCACTTGCCATCGTGCTATCTCAAGCATAGGAGGAAACAAACACGGAATACATTCTCTGTCATTTCGGTGGTTGACGGATGGGGGCGCGCCTTTTTTGCCCTTTTTTCGCGCGCGCATCCAAGGCATGTAACTGAAAACTATACTCAAACACGAAGCGTTGGCTGAGCGGCCGAAGTCAACCCGAAGTCCTGCCCAAACAGCAAGCGGCATACACGCAAGCAATCGGCTACACTCACACACACATACACAGGCGTGCGCACACTCTCACGAGCGTGTGTACAGCGTAGAAAACGAACGAAACGAAACGAAGCGAAAGGCAGGCAGCGGCCTAACAGAGGCAGCTAACAGACAGCAGTTGGTTGTCCGTTCTGTTCTCTGTGTGTGGTTGTAAAAAGGCGAAAACGTCACGAGAAAAACCGGTTAATAAATTATTGCCATTTGAATGGGAGATGTACGGTAAATAAATGTGAATAAATATATTAAAAATAGTGCAACTGCCACGGACCCAGGAATTGTGTATAAAACATAAATTGCATGTGCTAAACAAGTGAAAAACTCAAGTGAAAGCGAATGATGAAAATTTTGCAGTACATGGCGTTTGTTGCTTTTTACACGCCTCCCTCCCCCGACCATAGCGGTTCAGTTCAGTGTTTGCGGCCATTTGTAAACTGCGCAAAAACATTTTACGCTAGGTACCACACGACATTTGAAAAAAGTTTTGGATCTGAAAAACTACTATATAGAGGAATATATGGCCGATGCCCGATTCAATGGGCGTACACAACAAAAATGCGGAGCCTCGAGAATCGAGAAAATGCAACTGTCCAGAGCAGCACCCCCGGCGCACATCAGTAATCGGCTTTGTAGAGAAAATGCGATCTGGGACTTTCAAGGATTCCCGTAATGAAAGGCATAAAGGTTTGCGTATGACATGAAATGCGTAGCAGCAACGGGCAGCGGGCCATTGGCAATGGGTAACGGGAAACGGGCAACGGGCGGCACTCGGAAAGTGGGCGCAGAGCAGAAGCTGAAACCAAGACAACGACCAGGACGAGTACAAAGCGGCCGTCGCCCCGAAACAGGAACAAAGCAGCAGCAGCAGAGGCAGCAGTCGAAGCGGCAGCGGCAGCGGTAGTAGAAGCAGCGCCAACGCCAGTACCAGCAGCAACAACAAAAAGGATACGAGCCATAAATGAATTTTACGTATTTCAGTATACACACAAGAAACGCCGACCAGGACGAGGATGATGATGTTGTGTTTGTTGTTGTCGTCGTTGTTCCTGCTGCTGGAAATAGGGTGGGTGGCAGTCCGACGTCTGCGACAGTAGTAATACACACACAGACACACATACACGCTCGCACACGCACACACACACACACACATGCATGGCAGCTGGTGGGTAGAGAAAGAGCCGAAGCATAGAACCAAACAGACAAAGATGAAACGAGAAAGGAACGAAGCCAGAGTGAGTGAGAGGAAGAGCGAGAGAAAAAGCGTGTGTGTGTGTGTTAGTGAGCGACTGAGCTAGAGAGGGGCTGAGAGCAATGTGCCGGGTACGTGCCAAATAAGGGATGGTTCGTCATTTCGTCGGTTTTTCACAACTCGTGTGCACATACATACATAAATACACATGCATACATACATGTATGTATATATTTATATATGTATGTATATTGGCTCAATTCGGTTGCAGGACTGCAGCAGCAGCAGCAGCAGCGGCAGCGTTCGCGGCAACAACAGTTAGCGCACAGATCAATAAGCCGACTGGGCAACACCCTATAAACATATACATACCCAATTCCATATACACACATTATTAGGTATATACAATTAATGTACTCACAACTGCATCTCCTGAAAATTTACGAAAGATTAGGGTGCAAGTTCAGATCTCTAAAATATAATACAAATTCATCAATGTTACAAAATTGAACAGGCAAATGGAATGTTTCAATTTGAGCCTATCAAGTTCCAAGTTCGAATTTCGAAAATCTTTCGTAACTCTGCCTAAACAAGAACCAAATGCGAATGGTGGTTGCTGTTGTTGTTGCTTCTGCCACTGCCGCTGAATACTAGAAGAGGCTCGAGATAGGGGTGTATAAATACACTCACACACACACGCATGCACACTCACAGTTTACACATGCGTACATACACACACACACTCACAAATGATGCAGACAGCGCAGCTCACAGTTAGACTGACTGGCAGACATTTAAGCTGCTGCAGAGGGCGGTGGTCGCCGTCGCAGTCAGCAACAACGTTGCCATTTTGCTGCCTAGCAATACACATACACACATGTATGCATGCACATACAGCCAGTGTGTGGTACGCATGCAACATGCAGCAGATTCGTAGCTACTTAACCTACAAAGAATAAAAGTAATAATGCATAAGCAAGTGCCGGGATATGCTTCAATTAGTTAAATTAACGGTACACAAAGGTTGCCAAACATGTACACGCACACACGCACGCTCGCAAGCATACTGACAAACATACACAATCATTAAAACCAAATTAAGTTTTACGTTTTTTACGTTACGCCCAAATCGTTTACGTCGTCCTTACTGCCGGCTAACGTCTTTGTTACGTGAATTGTATTAGAGTTCGTTTACACGGGTGTGCCAGTGTATGTGCATGTGTGTGTGTGTAAGTGTGTACATGCTTGGTCTTACTTTCAGTGTCATCAAAAAGGGCTGAGAATGATATTTCTGTAATTGAATTGTATCACAGCCAGCTTTGATGGGCACTGCGAAGGGCGAACGAACAGTAACATTAACAGTAAGAGAAAAAAAAAGCGGAAACAAAATTTATAGGTGTTGAGTAGCCGCACCGGTAAACAGGACTACAACAAACACAACCAACAAGTGTTTGCATCTCATTATATGGGACACTTAACGGTCTCCGCCCATTCAATTCAATTCTTGCGTAACTCTTCAAGGGGTTGTGAAATGTAGCCATTATCAAGTCATATCACAGCCATTTTGATGAGTTTCGTGTGAATTGCTTTCAGCATTGTCCCATCCGTCTTGTGTCACTGGATTATCCACCTCTACCTCCATCTCCATCTTCATTTGCATTCGAATTGCAATTTTCTTATACCATGTCGTTAAAATGTCTGTGACCGTATGTATTCACTATCATATCACAGCCATTTTGACGAGTTTGGGTAAAGAAATCTCAACAGAGCTCGCGTTACGTATCCGACGTGTAGGTTGTACTAATTATATTCCAGATCCCCTGGAATGAAGTCAGGCCAAGTCCTCGCGACTAAACGGTAATAAATACACATGCCATTTAGATGTTTTGTTTTTGTTCTTTTTTTTGGTTTTTGTTTTTTTTGTTTTTTTTTTTTTACTTTTATTAATTTTTTATTTTAATTAATAGTTATTATTTTCTCTTTCTTTTCATTTTCATTTAAGGAAACTTTACAAAACAAAACAGGACCACAACAGATGCAAATATTGATCATACTGAATAGAATCGAACTGATTGATGACCGGCGGCAAAGGATTTCAACGTTTTCTCTGAAGGACAACGGAGGCACTAAAAACCCAAAAGCCTGATTCAGAAATTCGCACGCTTCCAAGATATTTTTTAAATAATGCATAAAGCAACGAGAAAAACTTTTAATAGAATTTCAGAATAAATATTATCAGTAAAAATCGCGTGTTTAATATTTTTTTTTTTTTGAGAGTTGGGAGAGTTAAGAATGTAGAAGTGAAAACAAAATTAAATTTTAGCAAAATTAATCAGTTTCTACAATAGTATTTAAATAAGAAGTTCGACTCTTCAATTCACATTCGTAGCTCTGCATTTCTCAACGTTCTTTCCTTTTTCTTTTTTTTTTGTCATCAAACCAAGCAAAAGTTGTGTAGAGTATTCAAAGTGGAATCTGATAAGATATATATATAAAAAAAAGTACTTATTCCACAATGAATGCTAGGTATGTACTATATAATATACCAATTACAGAGCTTTTAACATTTAGCTTGGATTGTTTGGAATTTTGGAATGAGGACTTTGGATCTTAATGTGTCTTCGTGTTACCGATTGCTTGCTCCGTGGACTCCTCTATTCTGTAAATACGTGTACGCCAAGGCATACATTCTTTTAGTACCGAAGTAAATTCAAAAGATTCGCTTTAAGCAAACTTTACAAAAAATTCGGACTAATTTGTTCTTCTGTTTTTTAAAGGGCTTCACGTGTTTATCTTCAGTTTTCAGATTTCCAAATTGATTTCATTTCATATCATTAGTGAAATGATTGTTGTTTTGTTCAATCAATTGGAATTGGTTGATTTACGGGGCTTGGTACAGGCAGCTCGACGCCAAAGGAGACGCATATGAGATTGGATATACAGAAATCAGTAATGAGAACTATTAAGCTTCTCTAAATGCAGCGTTATTCCGCTGATTCTTTGATAACTATGTACTGATTTGCCTTTGTTTGTTTGTTTGTTTGGCTATCGAGCACTGTAGACAAATTCACTAGTTTCCCTTTTGTTGTTTGTTAAATATATTGTATAATTTCCTAGTTGTTTGTGTTGCTGTTTCACTTGCGATGCATATAAGTATAATGGTTGCCTTAGGGTGAAGCACCTGACAGTGCCAGTATGAATGGCTTGGCGTGATGTATATAACTGATCGGAGCTCAATCTGTCCAGGCAATCCCAAAGAATCATCAGTTTGGTTGCAGAGGGCGATGCAGAAATGTGTATATGTGAATTTTCGTGTATATTCTCGGTTTATGTGTGTGTGTGTGTATCTGACGTGGCGTGTTGCTGTGCATGTATGGGTGTTGGTGTGAGTGTGAATGTGGTGTTGGTGTGGGGCGAAAAGGGGCTATGAGATTTTGACGCTGATGTTTGATTCCACTGTGACGTCAACCGCGAATGCTTCCATTGAGAATCGTGCAGTTTACTGCGTGATATGCGGCTGCATTACAATCTGATACTGTTGATTCTGCGGCGGATTCTGCGGCGTTGTTCCTGGGAAGTAGGGATTGGCCATGATCTGCGGGGGATGTACGCACATCAATTGGTATGTTGGCTGTCCTTGGCCTGGGAATGCTGCGGGCTGCGGTCCCCCGCCAGCAGGGGAAGGCTGTGGGGGCGGATGGAACGTCGGATGCGGTTGACCCGGCGATGGCGTCGTCGATGGCGTTGTCTGTGTCAAAAACTGTAACTGTTGTGGCTGGTCCTGATACATGCGTATCGGCATCGCGCCATATGGCGGCTGGAAATGTGGTGGATGCGGAGTTTGCTGGTATTGAATGAACTGTTGCAACGGTGCCGCGGCCATCAGTGGCTGTCCCGTTGCGCTTGCAACATGCATTTGCGATCCACCCATTTGACCTGAAAGGCAAACGTAATTGATTATCCACATCTTATAAATATATCTATATCTAAATATACCGAAATTAACCACTCACCATAATTATTGCGACGCAGTCGCTGCGCCTGGCCGCCTGGATGTGTGGGTGCTTGGAATGCATGCGGCTGCTGCTGCACCATGTAGATCTGTGGATTAGCCGGCGCCATGTGGGCGCCCGTAGTCGTGTAGATGGCCGGCATGGGTACCGGGGTCTGTGGCGTATGGGGCCGCGATGGATTTGGTGTACTAGGTCCACGCGGCGTGAATGGCTTGGCCGATGGGTTCAGCACATGCTTCTTCACGACTGGCGTTGCAGTGCTCGGAGTGTTGCTAGTGCTGTTGCCTGCGCCTGTGCCAGCGCCAGCAGCTGTGGTCGATCCGTTGCCCGTAGCGCTGCTCACTGGCGTCGATTTGTCTGACCCAGCAGCAGCGCTGCCTGTGCCTGCCGTGGATGTAGATGTGTTAGCAATAATGCCAGTGGGCGTGACGCTGCTACTGCTGCTGGACCCTACGCCAATATTGGGCGCTGGCGATGCATCCGTCTTTGGAGTTGCCTGCAGTGGCGTAGGCGCCTGCTGTTCCATTACACCTGGTGAGCTCAAAACTACGGGCGAAGTTTGCGGCTGCTGTACGTTGGCAGGCAGTGGCACACCTTGTTGCACAATTTGGTAAAGCGGCTGCTGCGGCTGGCTTGGATCTAATTGAGCTGACTGTTGTTGTTGTTGTTGCTGCTGCTGCTGTTGCTGCTGTTGCTGTGTTGGCTGTGCCTGAGGCTGGCCCTGATGCAGTTGCTGCTTGGGCACATGCTGGTGCTGACTGTCTACTACTAGCTGCTGCTGTTGCTGCTGCTGTTGTTGTTGCTGCTGTTGCGCCGGTGGCGCCTTCTGTTGCATATGTTGCACATGCTGCTGTTGCTGCTGCTGCGGCGGCGGTGGCTGCTGCTGTTGCTGCTGCTGCTGCTGAGGCACATAATGTTGCTGTGGTGGCAGCTGCTGGTGATGATGCGGCGGCGGCACATGTACATGTTGCATGGCCACCAGTTGCGGCTGTTGCTGCGGCTGAGGCGGTGATGCCGATGGCTGCAAACCACTCCGCTGCAGCGCATGTTGCTGCTGCTGCTGCTGTTGTGGCTGCGGCGGCGACACCATCGTAAAGTCTTGCCCAAATTGACGCAGCTCCTGTATTTGATTATCGCGTGAACGCACTTGACGCTGTTGTTGCGGCTGGCTTTGATGCTGTTGCGGCGGCTGCTGCTGCTGCTGCTGTGGTGGCTGTTGTTGCTGCTGTTGTTGTTGCTGCTGCTGCCCGCCAGCCTGTAGGGGCGGCGAGTTACTGTTGTGGCCACCATGCACATGAGCACCGTGCATGGGCTTGCCCAGCGGCTGCGATTCGCCGCCATAGTTCAGCGACGAGTTGCTCTGAGAGCCCTGGTATTGTCGCATCTGGCGCTGGGGCAGTGGCTTGCCCGAATTGGAGCCAGAGTCGCCACCGTTCAATTTGGACGCACCACTCATATGCCCTTGATTCCGATATTGGGAGGAGCTACGAATACGAGTAAATAAAGTAAGTTTAGTCTCAACATTTGGTGATCATAAATAGCTTTGGCTTACCCGTGTATGATCTGTGAGCTGCCCTGGTAGGAATACTGGTTCTGTATACCCATCGAGGACTGGTAGCCTCCACTCTTGTTACCCACGTTATTGTTATTGTTGCCTTGCGAAACATTAGATGTGTTGCCGGCGCCGACGCTATTGGGCGGATTACCTCGCATTATTTTGCCGCCTTGCGGCACTGTTTTGCGTTTTATCATTGGCCCCCCGCCACTGCCGCCGCCACCACCACCGTACTTGCCGCCAGTGCCCGTATCTGTTGATGCGTTGCCAGAGGACGAGGATGGCCCTGTATTCTTCAAGCTTCCAGCGAGAATGAGCACTGCTTGCGACTGTGTGCCTCCGCCCTGGCCCATGCCCTGTTGACCCATCATAGCCGAATCGCGGTTATCACGATCGCGGGATCCAGTTACAGTGGACGATTGGGACGACATGACAGCATGTGATCCAGGCGGGCCATTGTTGTTGCGTGTTTGTTTGGTGATATAGCGATCACTGCTCATTGTCTCACGCAGCTGATAGTCACCAGATCCCCCGCCACCGCCACCGCCACCACCACGTGGCTTGTTGCCACGATCTCGATCACGTTCCCGTTCGCGTTCACGTTCCTCACGCTCTCGCTCGCGTTCCCTCTCCCGCTCATTGCGCTCACGCTCGCGCTCCTGCTCGTGATCTGGCGGTGGCCGCTCCACGGCAGCGAAAAGTGCCTCCTCATCACCATTCTCCAAATCCAAACGTTCCCGGCACGTGGGATTGTTCTCGATCTCTGCTGCCAATTTCTCAGCCTTGGCCTCCGCTTCCTTGAACTCTAGTGAGTCGCCCTTATCCAAAGGCACTGTATACGTCGACAGCGAGTCATCGAACGTGGAGGTCACACCAAACTGATTCTCATTCTTGCGGAACATTTCATTTACATCCCAGCCGTTGGCTGAGCCATCCAGCTCGATGTCAACGTCGCCATTCGCTCCAGAGTCCCATGGCTCCAATTCTTTTTCATCAAAGCGAGTGCCTACCAATAAAACAACAATAACAATAACAACGTCATTGCAAAATGCACCAGAGAAATGATTAAAATTACCGTTGCATTTGTCCGATATGGCGCCGTCGGTCTGAAAGGCGCCCGTAGTCGCGTATTGAGAATCAAAGTCCTTGGCTATAACGGTGACAACAGTATCCGCCGGGAATATGATGTGTCTGGGCACTGCTTTGCTTTCGTCGGGCTGATTTTTAGCCTTTATGCACGCGGGCAGCTCCAGTGCGATGTCAAAATTGCCCGAAAATGTGCGAAATACGCCCTCGTAGGTATTACCCGAGCGCAATCGGACCTGCACTACGCTGCCGACCAGCGCCGTAGCCGAGTGCATGAAGTAGGTGTTATTATAGACGCCCGGCGCCGACGAACGTCCGATTCCTCCGCCGCTGCCACCGCCAACGCTGCCGACCCCGCCCGCCTTATTATTCGCTGGTCGTAGACTGTTGTCGTTGGCGTTGTATCTGCAAGAGAGCCGGACAACCGGAGAGCCGTGGCATAAGCAATTAGAGCAGCTAACTAAATAGATGAACTACACACACCCACATCCACACATCACTCAAGCCTCGACGCAACTCAGCTCGTTTCTCTAAGCAAGCACTGCCAAAAACAATGACAATAACAATAGCAACAGCAAAAGGCAAATCGGCCGAGGCTAGCAAAAGCAATCGAGCCCGAACACTGCTCAGGGTCGACAACGATGTTTAAACTGCGCTGCGCTGCGTTGCGATATCGATTCGCCATCGTTGTTGTTGTTGTTGTGGTTCTGGTTGTTGTTTTTGTCGCTGGTGGGCCTGTGGCCCTTTGCACCAAGCCACGCCCAGCTCGGCCCACGAAAGCAAATAAATGCTGGCCATATTATGTATATGTGAGTGTGAGTGTAAGTGGGAGTCTGATTGAGAGTGGGAGTGTGTATGCGCTTTGGTTCAGTCCAGTGAACTCAATTTTAAAACTTCTTCCCTGTTCATGAACTAAATGAAATATGCATACACCTGTGTTACTCTGGCTAATGCCTGTACTTATTGGTATGTCTCAAGCAAAGAGGGGTTGAAATATAAATAAGAACGAGATGAGAGAATTTTGCTAACACAAAATTTGTATAATTTAAAAAAAAATCAATATAGATTGCTTTTTACTATTAAAATTTGTTGCTTCTTTTAACTAATTACAACAAAGTTAATATGTTTAATCAAGTAGTAATTAAATGCAGTTTTTATACCTATATTATTGTTTATCTTTAAAAAATATGAATTAAAAGAGAAATACTTTTAGAACTAGTTCATTTGAAATATGAAATTTATGCGGACGAACGAGTTTTGGGGTTGTTTTGATTGCGTGCAGGATCGACGACCGTGAAATGACCAGCTCCTTAGTTTACAGTTCGCAGCGCACAATGAACTCAGACACACGCACACAACAACGAAAGCAATAACAACAGTAACAACAGTAACAACAACAACAACGACAATTATAAAAGTAATATTAATAATCTACACTGTCGCTGCCAGAACTTAGAGCCGAGCGGGTGCGGTGGGGCAGCATTGAGGCTGATTCATTGCTTTTCCTGCTCTGCGCACTTTTTCGTCAATGAAAGCAAATTATTGATATGCGTTTTAAAATGAATCATGCGTAAAGCAAGAGGCGCTCATTGATAAGGTGGTCCGAGAAACTGGAATCGCATTAAAGCGATTCTGCTCTAGCATAACTAGACGAGGCAGGCAGCAAAAAAAATAATAATAATAAGGCAGGCTAAATAGGCCGAGGCGCAAATTCATACAAACAGACGTATGCAATACATACATATGTAGATGGCTGCAACGAACGGGGCTTAAATGCAAGTGGGCATAGGCCGAATGCCGAATAGAGAGAGAAGGGACAAGGAAAACAAGAACAACGAAGCGATACCAAATGTTCGGTCAGCAAATTGTAAAGTGACCCAAATTTTGTGCGCCCGGCGGGAGACGAAGTGTGCCAAGGCAGCGACAAAAGCAGCGGCAGCCGCCGTCGTGTCGCACGTCACACGGCGCAGCAGCAGCAGTCGCAGCAGCAACAAACAGCAAACAGCAAAATGCTGACAATGCAAGAAAAATGCATACGAAAACGAGCCAAGCAAAGTTGAAAAAGAAAAATACGATACGTGCGCGTCGTGAGCGTGCTTTACAGTGGGCTCCAAATAGCTGAAAATAGTGAACATCGCTGTGATATGGCATGGTAACACTGTATTGTAGCGCTGTCTACAAATGTTAAAGATTTTGGCTATCCTATACTCTTGTCATATTATAAAGAGTAAAATAAATCAAATTAAATACAAATATATGGAACATCTGTTGAATTTTTGAAAATTTTCCTAGAATAATAATTTGTTTTATGCCCCGCTAATAGATTGATAAGTTTATAAAAACTAACAGCCCAGTGTAGCGTTGAATATAATATGTACCAAGTGGTACACTTGTACCACACGAGGCAAGTGTGCATGGCTAAATGCAGGCAAATGTGGAGGTATGCACATACAAGCATGTATATGTATTGCCGTCATATTTCAATTGAAAATTTAAAGGTCTAGGCAGGGAGAGGGTGGGCAGCATACACATATTCATTGATCGAGGTCTCTTTCTCGTGTGTGTTGCTGTGCGTGTGTGTTTGTGTGGGGTGCTTCGCTGGGGAATTGGATGACTTTAAACAAATTATTTGTCGTGCTTTGAGTATATGTATGTTTTCTGTCGTTTTGTTTTATTGTTGTTCTTTTTTTTTTTATTTGGGGTTGGCCTGTGAAAGGGAAATGTAAACAAAGCTTAAAATATGACAAAACGACACCACACATACATGCTTGCATACACGTATAAGAATGTCTTTGTGTTTTTGTGCATTGCCACCGACATCGGCAGATCCAACACCAACACAAACTGACACACACATATATACGCACACGACTACATTCATGAACAATGTATTATATAAGTAATTGCAATTTGCCTTGATTGCTTGTGCCCCTTTTTTCTGATTTAGTTGCAATTACAAGTTAACAACTTCCACGAAATTATACTTGCAGTCAAATAGAATATTTAAACAAAAGAAAAACACAATTTTTTTTAACACATTAAAAATAAAGCGCGCGCTTTCACCTTTCACGACAGTGGAACCTGGAGCGATGTTAATTTTTTTCGTTTATTTTATTTTATTTAWTATTTTTTTACACTGGCTGCAAGCAGCAATAGCAACGACAACAACGAAAACAACGAGCAGTTGCCCCGTGTTTTTCTTCGTTCGTTTGCCTTTGCATTTGCTTCGTGCTTTTTCAATTGCAGCAGCAGCAGCGCTTCTTCTTACCTTGAGATGCCGCCGCTGGCACCACCGCCTCCTCCTCCACTAGGTCGACTTTTCCGCTTGCTATTGTTGTTCATAATAGAAGATGGGCAAGCCAATTGCCAATTGCCAATTGCCAGCAACAAGAGTCGACGAACGCACGGGGTACTTTGCTTTCAGTTGAACTTATTTCTGATTTCAATTTTATTTTTATGCGTTTCTTCGGTTGCGTCTACTTTTGCTCTTATGTGTGTTTTTTTTTTCTTTTGTATTTTCGTACTTTTCTTTTCTTGTTTAAATACTTCTGCTTTCTGTTTCTGTCTGTCTATTGGCTCTTTTCTTTTTATCTTTCTCGCTGGCTTTGGCTGGGTGGCTGAATCTGAATTTCGCTTAGCGACGTCACGATGCACAACGGAAACGGGGGAGAAACGGAGACGGGAACGAACGGTACGATGTCGACAATATGCTCGCTTTAATGGAGAAGTTGTCGCCCGATCTTTTTCGCCTTACCCGAAGCCAGCATTCAACACTTTTCGTGAGCAACAATAAACAAAACGTTGACGACGTCGACGATAACAAAAACACTAATGGCGGTCTGGCGTTAATTTTTCTAAATATTCACGCACTTCTTTTTGTTTGGGGGTTAGCCTTTCGTGCTTTGTGGCTGGTCGTTTTCTGCTTTGCCTCTGCTTTACGCTTTACCTCCTCCTTTCTTTTCTTCTTCTGCCTTTGCTCTTTTTCACTCGCACTCGCTGGTCGAATCTTGCGAATTTTTTATTTCATTCAATGGTTGCCTCGTCTCCAATTTCTGCGCTTCTCACGGGCTGTTTTCTTTTGGCAAAAAAAACGAGCATTAGCGACGGCAATTAGGCTGTTTAACGTCGGATAAATATATTTCTGTTCCTAATTATATTTTTATTCGCTGCGATAAACGAACAAGGTTGCACAAAAATTAGCTGAACTGCATATTTAGTTCAACTGTGGGCAGATATCGATATCTGACTTGCAACCCTAAAACGAAAAGAGATGGTACTAATATATCGATACTTTTGAATATTTTCGGTAATTTGTAATGACACTTCTATACAATATGCTGTTATTTTAACAACAATTTATTAAGATAATAACAAATTTAGCATGTCTGACTGAACGACATTAACACCTATATTACGTATCGATACTTATGAAGTTATCGAATACAATTCAATATTTTACAGCACTTAACCTGAGCAGCTTTATGTACTTAATGTTGGCGCTAATTTTTATACTCATTCACGAAAGTGAATCAGTATATTGGTTTTGTGCAATGTCCGTCTTGCTGTCCGTCCGTCTGTCCGTCTGTCCGTCTGTCCGTCCGTCCGTCTGTCCGTCTGTCCGTATGAACGCAATCTATTTCGGCGCTATTGAAGCTAGAGACTTGAAATTTGGAACACATACTCGTGTATATCTCCGATTTATAAAGTGTTAAAATTTTCCCGATCCGCCCACTAGGGGCGTGGCAAATCGGAAAATGCATTTTCCGATATACCAGAAATCATGTTTGTTGAAGAGCTAGAAAGCTGAAACTTGGTATGTAGGTCCGCGTTGACCACCCAAGATCACGAGCTATGGCGGATATATCTACGCCCATTGGGGGCGTGGCAAATCGGATAAAACTGTATCTCCTAAAGTTGTAAACCTAGAATGCTGAAATTTTGCACGTCAGCTAATGGTATGATTCTATAAAGTCTGAAGATAAATTATAAGTCTACGCCCGTTGGGGGCGTGGCAAATCGGACCTGAAGATATAGTGATTTTTTAAATTCTCCTATATTTTGGACACTATTGATGGCAGAGACCTCAAATTTTGTATATATACTCGGACTGATCACCCAAGACCAAAAAGTTTTGTCGGATATATGTCCGCCCACAGGGGGCGTGGCAAACCGCAAAAGTTTATATCTCCTAAAGTATAATAGCTAGAAGCTTCAAATTTGGATAGTTGAGTTACTGGTAGCCTCCTCTATCGATTCCCCAAAAATAATTTTTACGCCTCTTTAGGGGCGTGGCATATCGAAAAATACCCTGTAATTTTCACATTTTTTTAGGGTAAGCATTCAAACTTTGCAGTTAGGGTAACGTTATCTCTTTCTAAAAACTGACCAAAAATGAGGTGTCTACGCCCAGTTGGGGCGTGGCAAATCGGAAAAACCTGTATATTCTACAGTATTAGAACGAAACTTAACTACTAAATTGTTGATGGGATGTGAATGAGTATTCCGCAGTCGGTAACGCCCGACTGCAACGTTCTTACTTGTTNACAACACAGCTCGTAATAGTCCACAGTTATGAATAATAAAGATATGCATTTCCTTAGAACTAGTTAAAACCTGTCCGGAAGCAGATCAGTTTACTAAAAATCTGTTTACATTAATACTATTGACAACTGAAATGACTTGCGAGACAGGACAGACTTTTGTGCTGTCGCAAGATGTTAGCAATTGATTAACGTGTGTCAAAACTAATAAAGTTTGATATATTGATAAGTATGTCTATCAGCCTAAGCTGTAGATCAAATATTGAAATTAACTCTTGATTGGCAGATGGAAAAGTACTTGGCATGCTTAAGATTGAATCGCTTTTTGGAGTACTTTAACTCTTATCACACACAGATCGTCGATATAAGAGCGTCTGCCTTATGAATGTAGTCGTTACTATCCATCCCATCTGCATATGTGTACATATGTATTCATGTGTACGTATAGCTGCCCTAATGCGCGTTAAGTGTCCCATTGTTGTTGTTGTTGTTGTTGTTGTTGTTGTTGTTGTTATCGGGCACAAGTTGTCACCGTTTTCTTGACTCTTTTCATTTTTCTTGTTTATCACAGAAATCTGCCCGAGATTCTCACTTATTTATCGTTCCAAAATTCACGCATTCGGCAGTTTTCTTTAGCTTGCGAAGCGTTGCGCACTCGAGGACCAACATATGATAAAGAAAATCGGATTATCAAAAAATTAGAAAATTCTGATTATCCTTAACAAGTGTATTCAGTTAATTGTGCTGGAGATAAAAGGATAATATCTCTATACATATAAAGCCACTATGCCTTTTAAGAAAAAACTATCCTTTGATGGTATGTTCCAAAAAATATTCATAAAAAGTGACTCGTTAAATGAATATTCATGAAAAAGGAATACAAATATTTAAACAAGTGCTCTAAAATGAGATGTTCCTGGAACTGAGTTGAGTTTATCTTTCGGTTTATTTTGTGCAAGAACCTTTTATAACAAAGAATATACCTTGGTCATATGTGAATAAACTGTTGATTAAATTGAACTCAATTAGTTAAAAACTAGAATCTAATCTAAGCTACCATTTAATTCAAGGTTTAGGGCGTTAACTATTCAAAGCCTATTTTACTTTTGTGACAATTTAAATTGAATTAAATTTGAATTGAATTTCGCTTTTATTCAAGTACATATGTGTTGTCTATAAACACTGAAAAGACTTTAGATTTTTATATAAAGTATTTATGATCTTTTATTGTTATATGTTAAAGTCGTGTCTGGCAAGCAATAAAAGCAGAGTCTTAATAGAAATATAAAATTCAGTTGTCGTGTCGTGTCGTGTTGTCGTGCAACTACGAATAAATAATGTCATTATCTATAGATATATAGAATCTCTTTTTATTAGTCGCTCTAAAAAGTGATCGATCTTTACTTTTGCTTAGCATATCTATAAGGTACACACAGACAAAGCCTCCTGCTAAGAACTATTACTTAAGTAATTTTGCCAACTTTACTTGCAACTTCATAACTAGATCCTGAAAAGCTAAATCAAACTGTCATAGATTGATGAAAATAAGTAGCAAAATAAGAATTTTATTTTAACTTACGTAAATATTAAGCTTAGACTTGATAAGTTTCGCACCCAAAGACTTTAATACGTCTTCTTATTGTTATATTTGTTTACGTTTATTAAAGCTTTTCTCATAAATTTGATGCTCATGCTAGAATCTCATTTTCATTAATAATATGCATACAGAAAAAAAATTTTGGTAAGTAGCTTACGATAATAATAGGTCTATGTTTTTGACGATTTAAGAAATAATAATTGGAAATTTTAGAAACTTTTTACTGCAATAAAAAATGTATTAAAAACCATATATGAATATATTTATATAACTAAATTATAGTCGAATCACGAGTGGAACTCAACAAATATTCAAAATAATAATGGAAATAATAAATTAATTATAATTGGCAAATATAATTAAAGGTCGGCTGTTAGCTTCAATTAAAGAGATATAAAGGGAGAGGAATGAAATGACAGTATGCGAGAGATAGAGATAGAGAGAACGAGTTAGAGCAGGTGTATGGCTATTCATGTGCTTTAGCATGTCCGGGCTTCCAATTGAATTAGTTCCATGATCAAGTTCAGATATATGTATATGCATACATAAATACATATAAATAGTTATCCATATATCTAAAATACACACATGAGTTGTTAGAACCTTTAACTTTTTTTTTTTGTCACAATTATTAACGCCAAATTTGATGAGTCAGCCCAATATTTTGTGTATAAACTCTATTTATAAGCTCACATGAAGAATGTGAGAAGTTTAGCAAATACATAGAAAAGAAGCAACTGCTAATATATTAGTTACACAATGCAGACATGAAGTGTGTTTGCATTAAGGTTAACATCGGGTGACACATTGCTTACACAGCGTGAATATTTTATCAAGCAATCAGATATGCCAATTACTAATATTGTCAGTTATAGTTGTCCTTGTCGTAGCTAAGGGACAAGTGTAAAATACAACTAGTTATCGAATTATGTAAACAAATTTATAAACAATATCACACACGGTCGCTTTCTACACAACTCTCAGTTTTAGTTTTGCATAAAACTGAATGAGCGGGCGTCTGGAACAGGTTTTCAATTGGTACTCAGATCTGTCCCAACGCGACTTGAGCTCAGCTCTACATGATATACACTACAGGGCAGTTTAGCTCATAAGTGTGAGCTAAGACTACATAGCTTGAAATGGCATGAATAGATTTGATATATTCCGGAACTAGCTGATTATTCATACATTTGGCTCTATCTATGCTATATAACTTATATTTCCATATCATATAGTAACTAGGGCTTTATTATACTAGCTATATAAAAATAAAGGTATATTAGTTTAAGCTTATTACATATCATGTAACATTAGGAGTGAGTCTAATATTCTCATTCATATTCTCATAGCTCATTCCATATTGCTCATAAAGAAAATAGGCTAGAGAAAAACATTTATTTTTAACAGTCTCTCATTTTTTTACATTATTACTAAATAAATGTGATTAACATATCTTGTTAAAGATCACCCTCCGTCTCTTAAGCTAGATGGACGATCACATATTTTATATAATCGATATTCATAAGCATAAGGAGAATGCTCTTCTCTTTTTCCTACTTTCTCCATAAGTGGTTCTAGAATACTTAAATGCGAGCTTTAAGAGGTTCATCCAAAGAGAGTTGAACTAGAATTTCTAAATGCAATCTATAAGAGATTCATCCAATGGCAGTTATACTAGAATTTGTAATTGCAATCTATTATGGCAGCAGCGCCTTCTTTGAGCTAGACTTCCGTACGATCTAGTTAGTGTATAAAGTCTGCGGCGTGTCAAAGCTTTGTTGCTATAGTTATTTTTATAATTTCGATCTTACAATCGTGCCGTGCATGACGACCAATACTTAATTACGATTTCACACAATTGAAAAAAAGCAAAACAAAAGCAGAAAAAAAGCAGAATCAACGCGAAACAGCTCGAGCTCGGCTGCCGGGTTCAACATCGCACTTCCGAAGGGGCTATACGGCTTGCTTAGCGCTAAAAATTCCCCTGGCCGAATAACAAATAAAATGGGGCTTAAAGCGTTTACAGTTCGCCCATTGGGCAAAAATCGAGAATCAGTACGAAATGCGTTGGCCGTGGAAGCGCACGTTTAGCATCGCAAAGGGCCGCATTGGAGCCGCCGGCAAGCGGCCAGAGGCGGCAGTGGCTACAGTGGCCACCATTTACGATCGTACGAGCAGAAAGTCTTTAGATATATCTGACAGATACTAGATATGTATATCTATATATCTATTGTTCAACTCTCATTGCAGCCAATGGGGATGGCGAGGTCAAGTATACGGAAAAGAATGGCGACGACTGCTACGAGCTCTCGCACAGCCTCGAGATGGACATGCAGAGCAGATACAGTGCCCCAAAGCAAGCGCACTGGCTGCTGCGTCGCATTTTCATACTCACCTGGATACGCAGCTACGATCGATCGCAGGCCTTCGCGGATCTTATAGCGGGCATTACCCTCGGCCTGACCATCATTCCGCAGAGCATTGCCTATGCAGCGCTAGCGGGCCTCTCCTCGGAGTACGGCCTGTACTCGGCCTTCATTGGCTCCATCATCTATGTGTTCTTTGGCACCATACCGCAGGTGTCCATCGGCCCCACCAGCTTGATGGCCATCATGACGCTGCAGTTCTGTGCGGACAAGCCCGTGCAGATAGTCATCGTGCTGGCTTTTCTGGCTGGCTTTGTGGAGCTGCTCATGGGCGTCTTTCAGCTGGGCTTCATTGTCAGCTTCATACCGGCGCCCGTGACCAAGGCCTTTACGTCCGGCACCGCCGTGATTGTGGTGCTGGCGCAGATCAAGAGCCTGCTCGGCATTCGCCTGAAGAAGGTGCCTTCCATCGGGGACTACTTCACCAACATTCACCTGTCGGACGCCATTCTGGGCATCACTTGCATTTGTCTGCTGCTTGCACTGCGGGTAAGTCGGATCATTCTGAGACTGATTGAGGGTCTAACGGGATGCTTTCGTGCACATTGCAGCTGCTGTCCCAGGTCAAGTTTAAGCAGGATACGCCGCTCACGCAGCGCCTGAAGAAGGTGCTCTGGTACATCAGCATCTCGCGCAATGCCCTGATTGTCTTCTTCAGTGGTCTGATGGTGTACATATGGGTGCACAAGAGCTCAATGGAGGCCGTGCCCTTTGCGCTCTCCTCAAAGGTCGCCTCGGCCATGCCCAGCATCAAGTTGCCGCCCTTCGCCTTTGAGCATCAGAATCGCACCTATGTCTTCACCGACATCCTGCACGAGCTGGGCAGCGGCGTTATTCTGGTGCCCATTGTGGCTGTCCTGGCGAATGTGGCCATTGCCAAGGCCTTCGGTGCGTATACGTAATATGCGCAATTGAACTGATTTGCTCATCATATATATGTATAATCGTTTTCTAGTCAAGGATGGCAAGCTGGATGCCTCGCAGGAGATGTTGACACTGGGCCTGTGCAACCTGGCCGGCTCCTTCTTCAGCGCCATGCCCACCTGCGGCGCCTTCACGCGCTCCGCCGTGAGTCAGGCGTCGGGCGTACGCACGCCCATGGCTGGCATCTACACGGGTCTCATTGTGCTCTCCGCCCTGTCCATATTGACGCCCTACTTTCAGTACATTCCTAGATCATCGCTGGCTGCTGTGCTCATTGCAGCAGTCGTCTTTATGGTAAGCTAAACGAATATACTCTATAAGGTAAATATAGGTTATATATATGTTTCTGCTCTGCCCAGATTGACCTGACGCCCATCAAGGAGCTGTGGCGCACAAACAAGAAGGACTTCTTCAGCTGGACGGGCAGTCTCATCATGTGCCTGGTCGCTGGCGTTGAGATGGGTCTGCTCTTTGGCATCGTAGTCAGCATGATCTGCATTCTGCTGCGCCTGGGCAATCCCAGAATTGAGGTCAGCTTGAAGCAGGTGCGTACCGCATGAGCCAGCCGAGGGCATTTCTACAGCTTATCATGTTTATTATGTTTGCTTTGCAGTGGGAGTCGCAGTACTACGTGCATATTGTGCCGCAGTCGGATATTTTCTACACGGGCGTGGACATGCTGCGCACGGAGATTGTCGCCGCGAGTCAGCTGTATCGCAACGATTTTCCCATTGTGGTGCAGTGCTCACGGTTCATGCAGTTCGACGCGACCTTTGTGGAGATGCTGAACGCCGTGGCCAAGGAGCTGGCCAACGACAATGTGGTGCTGGTGCTGCAGCACATGTCGCTCAAGCAGCAACAGTTGCTGCCCTTCACCAGCAACATACGGTTCTGCAACGAAGACCAGGAGCTCTTCCCGCAGGAGTCCAAACAGTAGTCAAACATCTCCAATATCCAGCATCCGCCTGGCGGTATCTGGCCTCGTGTGGCGCTGCGCTGTTGACTCACGTCACAATTTGTTTTTGTTTTTCGTCTTCTTTTGTTTCATTTTACTTTTATTGCTCTAATTGCTCTGGCGTCAGAGGAGTGTCCGTCCACCTGTGCCCGGTCGGCGCTGGCTCGCGTGCGCATGTTGTTCATAACTCTGCGCTTATATGAGCCGCCGTATAGCAATTCAGATGTATAAATTAAAGTCAACCTCTGGCGTTTATCGCAGCAGCCACTCGGCAAACAAATCTACTACTTAATAGCGCTTTATTGCTTGATTGTATTCTGCTTAAATACTCTACTCTCGGCTCAAGTGGACGTACACAAGCGAGCGTAGTTCCTTTTCTTACGTCAGCTGTGAAATGTAAATAAATAATAAAAACTATAAAAAAAATTCGTAAAAAAATGAGAGTAAAGCATTCTACATTTCTATTCTAATTCCATCTAGCGGAGGCCGCAGCTACACAGCGATAGCTCTCGGTTGATAAACTAGATATATAAAAATGTCCATTTTTACTAGGTCAATTATATACCGGGTTCAAAATAAGCTTATCTTGAATTTCTCTGCTTTTCTTGTTGTTATGGGTGTAGGAAACGTCTTAAAAGTCTATAAAATATTTCTGATTTTGATTTGAGATTGAATGAGTCTGCGAATGCAAGCGGTATGTATCTAAAAATATATTTTACCCTAAACATTAGTACTTCCAACTCTAACTCGTTTCAAAATTGATGAATCAGAATATTATCTTTTATCTAATGTAGTAACGATCAATAAGGAAGTTATTTTAATGGGATGTTCTCACTCATCACATGTATTAACTAAATATAAGTATTTGTTTCAGCCTATTTTCTAGTCATCTGTTCCAGAGACATGTTTAGAAAATTTCGCAAAATTCACGTTGTATGCGAATTAATTAGTTTTACGGACTGTACGTGGGCTAATCTAGCACTTAAAAAAATTAACACTTTTTAAACTCGGGAAGAGTACTACGTATTTCATTCATGATCATTCATGATAACACAAACTCTTTTTTCAACAACTAATTTAAAACTATTAAGTTGCACATTTTTAGATTTTAGTCATTTCCAGTTGCAGCAGCGAATAACAATTTTGCATACAGACATTAAGCTCTTTGGCCGGTGGGTATTACCTGAGACGATTGTGATAAAGCTAGAAAAAAGGAAACTAAACTGGTTTCGCATAGAACAAGAAAACCACAGAGAGCAAATAGATAATGAGACTTGCTTGAGTGCTCAACAGGTAATGATTATAAATATTGTCTGTCATGTCTCTAGGAGACTTCCATTTTCTTATAATAAGAGATAATCCTGAAAGAGATTCTCTATATAACAGACAATACAAGGGCGGTTCAATTTCTGTTCTCTCACACACACGCCTGGCTCGAGTTAAATATCTGATTTTCTTTAAATTGTTATTTAATTTTTATTCTTTTCACTTTTTTGTTTTGTTTAGTTTTTTTTTTTTTATCTTCTTGTTTGTTTTGTTATTCAGTAAGGAAATTATAATTGATAGAAAAAGTATAATATACTGTATAACAATTTAGTTTGTATTCTGTTTATCATTCCGTAATGCGTAGTTTTTCATTTTCATTTGAATTTTTCTTTTTTCTTTTTCTTTTTGCTTTGCTTTTATCGTTTATCTTGAATTGTGTTAAACAGCTTTTTGATTTAAACTGTTTTTTAAATAAATTGTGTACTTTCTGTAAATCTTTGTCTAAGTAGTTTGTGTCTGTCTCTATGTCTGTATGTGTGTGTGTGTGTTTGGTTGACATAGGTATACCCTTGCTGCACGTCCCCCCCTCGATATAGCTGAATCGTACTAGACTATATGTACATATGCATTCATTCTGGCCAAGGTCATAAGAAATAGAAACGGATCTCTCGAATCATTCTCAATGGTTTTCCCACTAACACCTGATGGGCAAGGGTATAGAAACGTCGGATATGCCGAAGTTCCATGTCGACGCCTCAAACTGTGTAAAACGATTATATTCTCCTGCTGTGTGGCTAAATAATACAATGATTTGATTGTAAGGTAAAAATTATTTACGTGGGAAAAGTTAACGCTTGTTACATTAAAGATATTTTATATGTATATACTATATATAAGGATGTGTATGCTCGTGTGTGTTAGTTGTATAAATATAACATGTGGATTTGTCGCCTATCGACTGGAATCGTATTCAACTATTTTTATGCCGATGTACACATACATATACATAGGGTATCTCTATGGTGTGACTACTCTTGTCAGTTAACAATTTACAGTTTTGGGCTCTGAACTATGTTGTGCTGTGTGATAACATTTAGTTATTGTAGTTGTTGCTATGGTCTGGCTGAGCATCTCTCCCTCTCCCTGTCGCTCTTTCTCCCACCCCCTCTCTCTATCTCTGCCTCTCTCACTGTCAAGGATTCCAGCACTGAAAGAAACGTTCTTGTTGTTTTAAAGTAATGATTCGTTCACAATTCACAATTTCTTTCAAAAGCCTTTGCACATCATTTGAATATTCCATTTCCATTTTTATATAAGTTTATAGTTTCATTTACTTTTTATGATAATATTTTTGCATTTTTTTTTTTTTTTTGGTTTTCTTGTTTTTTTTTTAATATATGTTTTTGTAGTTGTATTTTTCTTTATACTTTCTGTTTTCATAAAGCAAGAGGTACGCATTGTATTTGTTGTTTAAGTGTTCATTCTTGATGTGTTACTAAAGCAACGGTTAAACATTAGGAAACATGTCTTTGTCGAACAGGTAAAAGCAATTATGAAAAGGAATGTCGTACGCATACTGACATGACGGACTGTACTAGCTAAGTCATATCTAAATATTTAAGTAAAGCAATCATGAAATTTTCAATTTGTTTTTTTTTTGTTTTTGTTTTTTTTTTTTAATTTTAAGGTAAATATGTATATGTGTAGGTATTTAGATTTTTTGCTTTTTAATGGATAGTCATTAGTAAATAGCTGGAAGGTTTGATTTGTATAGTTGATAATAAGGAAAGAAAATGTAGTAGAAACTTGAAAGAATTTGCCAAGCATGTTGCATGTTGCATGTATTGCGTATATATGTATATCTATGTAAGTCTGTTTGTATGTTTGTCTTGTCAGAAATTTGTATTTAATATGTTTATATATTTTTATGCCACATATCTTACTTGATATTTTCTATTTTTCTCTTTGTTTATAGTTTAGTTGATATACGCTTGAGAGCTGCAGGACTTGGGCAACGGAGAGACGGTGCTTGTGGCTGGGCTTCAATTTTAAATTTTCATTTTTCGATATCGAATTCGATTTAGATTTTCGCTTTTGGCTAGTTCCTCTGCTGCTCCAATGAAAGGTGAAGGAATTTAGAGGCATGTGAAAATAAGGTTCAGATATATATGTGTGTATATAAATTTGCATATGTGTATGCATGTGTATGTATGTATATGTAGTATATGCGTATATATATGTTTAGTTCATAATTTGTTTACCTTGGTTTTTTTTATGTATAATTATTATTATTTTTTTATATTTTGGTTTTATTTTTTGCATAGTTCTGGTGTGTCCATCGCCTTTAATATTGCTCAACTTTCCATTCCTATTCTTAGGCTTTGATTTATAAATTTCATTTAAATGTTTTATTTCTTTTTTTTTGTAGTTTTGGTTTTTTGTTTTAATATATTTTAAATATA